GTACTTATTTTATTTTTTTAAATATTTATATTAATAGCTATAAGTAAACTTTTTTCTGAATTAAATTTAATATACAGTTAAAATTTTCTATAGTTACACTTATTTATAATCACATTTCTCTATTTTACTTTTTCATTTACATATAAACATAATAAAAAAATCTTTCTATAGTCATAACTCTTTATAATTAACAAATTTTATTTTTTCAAGAATAATAATATAAAAAATTTAACTATATATATTTAATATTATTAATAATTATTATTTTGATATTAATCTATTAATAAAAAATTTGTTTAGATTATCGAGTTTGTTTTTGATAATTTTTAGATAAAGCTAATTCAGATATTTATTTTTTATATCTGATTTTACTATTAATTATTTGTTATTAATTATAATTATTATATTGTTTTTCTTTTTTAAAAAGTATAATATTTGAAATATTGATATTTTTAAATAATAAATTATTATTAATTATATTATATATATATATATATATTGAATTAAAATTATATAATATTTCTAAATTTTTTATGTATTATTATTTGATAGTTCAAAATTATAATTTTTTAAATTAATATAATTTTGTTTTTGAAATGAAATTTGATTATATATTGAGATTTGGCTATATATTAAAATTTGATTATATATAAAAAATTATATTACTATTATAATTAATTTCTATTTTTAATTATGTATTTTTAAAAGTAATTATCTTTTTTGAGTAATTATATGGAATATTTTGGATCTTTTATTAATTAATTTTATTTCAGAGATATTTTTAATTCTATTCTTAATTAATAAATATTTTTTGAAGTTTAATGAGGGTGAGGAAACAAAAGAATTTATTAGTTATACTAAAGTATTTTTTTCTTGAAAAAAAATTATAATTAATAAAGATATGATAAAAAAAATTAGAAAAAGATATTTGTTTTTTTGATTTTATATATATATATTTGTTATTTTAAATTTTTTGTAAAAAGAAAATGTGATAAAAAAGAAAATGTAAAAAAAATTTAAAAAAGAATTTATTAATAAAAATTAATATTAAAATGAAGCTTGAGATAAAAAAATATATTGAAATAATAAGAGAAGTTTAATAATAAACTTAAAGACTTTTAGTAACTTAAAGTTTTGCTTTATTTATCTGTAAATTAGAAATTTATAAAGAAAAAAATATGAAAAAAATGTAATTTATTATTTATTATTAGTATAATTTGTATAATTTATATAATTTATATAATTTATTCAATTTGAATATAATTTATTATTTTTTAATTAAATTAATTTGTATTAATTTATTTTAAACTAAAATTAATTTATTCTTATCAAAATTAATTTGTTATTTCAAAAAAATTTATAAATAAATATATTTTTGCTTTTAGAATAAATAAATTATAGCAATTAGTTCAATTAATAATTTAAATTAAAATATTTTAATAAAATATTTATTATTTAATTAATTTTATTATAAATATACAAAACTAATTAGTTAATTATATTATTATATTTGTATTTATTGTGTATTATTAAATTATCAATCAGAAAAATATTAATATTCTATTAATTATTTTAAAACTATTTATATATTAAGTAGACAAAATAATCTATTAGCAAATAGTAAGAGTTTATTTATAAGATAAAAGAAAATGCATTATATATTAATTTCAAAGATTATATGACTAATTGTAAATTGATTTTAGAGTAAATAAATTATACTAATAATATTTATTTCATTATTATTACCAATTATTTCTTAAAGATTTTTAAATATTCTTCAAGTAAAGCATGTTCATTGATTTTATTATTATTTTTTTTTCTGTAACAAAAAGAATTGGAAGAATAGATTGAATTTTGAATATAATATCAAATATTTTTATTCCATAAATATTTAATGAATTAAAATCTGAAAACTAGACAGGTCAATTAAGGATATTAATTTTATTTTTAAATCCAGATTCAGATAACATTAGCTTATAAAATTCACTATTAATTTAACAGGGATTTTCAATGCCATTCCAAGTAAAACAATCCATTAGCTTTGCAAATATATCTTTAAATACTTATTATTACTTTAACATTATTTTTTATCTAATTCAAATAACTTGAACTAACTTTTATCTGATCAGATTACATTCATAAGCTTCTATTAGCAATATAACAAATATAATTTCTTTGATTCTTGGTAAGTGTGAACATCTTGGTCTTGATTCTGATAGAAAATTATCTTTGATTGCATATTGTTGATTGTGTCTATGCTTTAATTTATCTATCGATAGCTTTTTCAAGCAAGCAGAATTTTTAATATTTCTTGGACTGATCAATGTCACTAAGTTCACTATCTGATACATTGTCTGCTGTGTGAGCACATGTATCATGTGAAAATACTATATTACATAATACATGTATTTTCATTTTTTGATTGACTAATCGGACCAGAGATATATAAGTTATATATCTCCAGCCAGCGATGCTTATATAGCAGCAGTCATAAGTATACGACCGGCTCTAGATCGCCCCACAGATAAGTACATTTAATTTTTTTTTATTAAAATACATGTCTAAGACATTTAATATATTGTATAATTAACATTTGATTCTAGAAGTGCAACTACATGACACTTCATACTATCTACCAATTTCACCGCAAGATTATTTGGGAGATGGTTCCATTCTTTCTTAAGTTCACTTTTTAATCCTCTAACTGTACGAATTTTTTTTGTATATTGATTTTTATTAACCACCACACGTTTTCTATAGGGTTTTAGTTCGGAGACATCGATGACCAGAAAAGTACTTTGACGTTGTTTTTCGCCTTCCATTTCTTCGCGACTTTTGAACAGTGCTTGGGATCGTTGTCTTCTTGGAGGATCCAATATAAGCAATTCTCGCCGAATACTTGGAGGCAGAAGCCAGAAAATCACACTCGTAGATTATACACATAAAAGCTGTATCAAGATTCCGTTGGAAACACACCAACTCACCAAACCGTCGAGAAGAAAAACAGTACGAAATATTTTTCTTCTCTCGATGAACTGCCAAAATTTTTTTTGTTGTATATAGTTGAAACGTACTCGCATCCGTGAAAATGACCTGGCTCCAATAAAAATATCAATGTTTTTTCACCCATTCCAGCCTTGCTTCCCGGTGCTTCGCTTTGAGCAAAGGCTTGGAGATTTTGTTAGTATACTTACTCACAGCTTCACGAAGAGGACGCCTTACAGTCTCCACACTAATCTCAAGATCCCGTTCTTTCATATTTTTTTTTGTATTTGGGTGGCTGTAATATTATGTTTCTTCATCGCTATCTTCGTTATTCGTTCGTCTTGCTTCGCCATTGTGACGCGTGGTCGACCCAATTTTTCTCTAGTACTTAGGTTCTTGTTTTTATGGTATCTCTGGACCCAATAAATGGCTGTAGACTTATCACAGCGAACATGTTTAGCTATTTTTCCGAAACTCTACTTCGGTCCAGCCGGGTGTTCGCGTAAAAAAACGATTTCATATCGTTTTTCGAAAGTTCCATTTTTGGGGCGAAAGTTCGACGATATCTAGATTCCTTTTCACGAACCTATAAAAGTACTAGTGGTCATGCGTCGTGTTACATTTTGTGCCTGGAAAATTAAAGGGGCAGTTGTAATATGATTTGGGTGAATCCAGGCGGTCGAATACTTATAACCGCTACTGTAATTACCCTTATTTTATTACGTATTTTTTAGATAATTGAATTAAGAATTGATTTTCTCGATTTTGGTCTTTAACGTCAAATCAATTTTAAGTTAATCAGTTTTAAAAATCAATGCTTATCTTTATGCCAAGTATAACTTTAAAGAACTACTATACCATTTCATTGTTTGCATTTTTTTTTTGGAAAGGTATTTCAAAGAAAACCTCTGTGTAACTAATACTTTTCTCTCTTTATTTATGGTGCATTTTCCAAATCGCTAAAAAGATACTATTGTGAATAACTGTTGAGACATATGAATAATAGGTTAGGGTATGAAAAAGACTTGAATCTTATAAGATACAAAAGAAAACTGTAGCGGTAGATTTTATTATCAATATGTTTGCATTGATAACATTCAACATGATCTTGATACTTATCCTCGTTGTAGCGACACAAAAAGATAAGAAAATTAAATTTAAACCCGTTATACCACGTTATAATGGATTTTATATGTGAAGCAAAATCTGTTATAACGAGGTCCGACAGTAATTTGTTTCTGATCTTATTTACCCCCATAAATTAATTTAAGTCACCGGCGAAAGTAATGGCGGTGAGATTGTTACTATGAGGTTTTTTTAATAATATTTATCGAATTATTGCTTTAAAAACGTTCAAGATACAAAATTTTTAAAGCATTAGATTACATTCGAACTTGCATTGACACGGAAAGAGAGCACACCAAGTACTGATATTTTAGGGGCATAATGCCCTACTCAGAGGCACTTTCAGGATAACTTTTTTTTTTAATTTTATTATACATATAATAAAAAAATCTGGCCGCAATTACTTTCGCCGAGAACTGTATACGAACCTTATGATCTTGGCATTAGTTATTTATGATTTTAACGAAAGGAATACATGAACTAAGTATGGTGTGTAACATATAATTTTTATAAGTTTTGGATTACGTACTTCCTATTTAAGAAATTATAGAATATCGATACAAAGTGGCTAATTGTCGAACAAGTACATAGTATGACATCATTTATTTATAATGTTACGTACTTTATATGTGCTGTCTATCAATAGCGTTACCAATAGTACCCCCTGAGATTGATAAGCAATGTCTATGGATCTATGGCAGATAACCCTCCAATTAGTAACAAATTTTCATATATTGCTCTAGTCATTCTGGGTACTATTCAAGTTCAAGGGGGTTTTTGAAAAGTACCCGGGTACTATTGTCAGCGCTGTTCGGTATTGAATTAAATTAAAAGTAGATCTGTGTATAAAACGTCTTCCACTGCATAATTCTATATTGTGATTATTCAATTCAAAATGCTCTTCGAGAATTATAAATCTGAAGATAATTGCTAGTTGGCGCTGATGAAGATAGTGATTTTTCATCGTCACCGTTATATGACGGAGTTCTTGAATGCCTTCTTTGTGGCGTTTGCGATGGCGAACCCATAATAAATTCTTCCTCAGATTCTGATGAACTTTCTTCAAAGTCTGATTCCCATTCTTCTTCTCGACTATTGACCTTGTCGAAATCAACATTTTCAATTATGCCTTCCATGAGATTTGCTCTAATTGCTGAAGAAACTCTTCGGATAACTTTCCCAAAAGTTTCAACTATTAGTTCATTTTCACTAGATTGAGAGGATGTGCGAGAATGATGACGATAAGTATATGCAGAAGGATTATTTAGCATTTCTTCGGCCACAGAATTTCGTCTACTACCACTATCTGATGAAGATGAAGAACTCGATCTTGGATGTAAATAAGTATCAAACGCTGGTGGACTTCGCAAATGATTTATTATATGTCGTTTTCTAAGTCTTTCGTGTTGTTCTTGTTGTTGTGCCGCTAAGAAAACTGAGTGTGTTGGTAAAGAAGAGCATAGTCTGTTTGTATTATTAGTATTTTCTGCTGTTAAATCTAACCCGGTGTTAATCATTTTTATTCGAAATTTTTTAATTCGTGTTGTTTATTATTTTGAAAGTATTAATTAGTGTGTGTTTATCGTATTGTTGAAATCAAGTTTGGCTGAGATAGTAAACACATTCTTTTTATCTATTTTTCGTAATTTTCAGGAGTTAGTCGCAGTAGCATAGACATGTACGTGACTTAGTGTTCGGAATGATTTATCCATATAAAGTAAAGCACAGCATTTTTTAGGCGTACGATAGAATACGTGTTACACCACACATTCTTTTTTCTCTTACCCAAAAGGATTTTATTCTAGTATCGATATCAATTAGTATTCCTTTTTTTAATGATTTTCTACTAAATGTAGCGAATACTATTTTTATATGTTTGTGATGATGAAATACCGCTTATTTTCGTTTATTCTTTACATTTTTGTATTTAAAACTATCTCCTGAATGAATGAATGCAAATTAGCAGTAGTTAGTAATTAGTAATTAGTAAGAACATAATTGTATTCGATATTGCAAAATACATGAGAGCATTAGAATATTGATAATCATTATGTCATTGCCGAGAAAATAATCCTTTTCATCTATTGTTATTGCAAAATACACTATTCATTATCGAATTTGAGAAAATGGTAATGAATCAATGTTACTTCTCACAAAAAAGAGACGAAAAGGCATTTGTCATGCACTGCCTCGTGACGTCCCTTTTTTTGTTCTCATTAAATTTCCATAATTGGCAATATAATAATAGGGATCATGTACACAAAGTTCTATAGAGATAAAGATCATGTAAAACATATAAATATTTTTCTGTCTTGACATTAACGTGCCGCATTCTTGAATTCGCAGTACATGTGCTCACATGTACATTTATCTGATAATCGATTGTAATTGCCTAATATTGGCTATTTTAAAAAAAAAGTACGAAATTCAAAAAAGTAATGGATTTAAAAACGTAAAACGAAACTTCTTAAAAGAATACTTTATTAGAACGAAAAAAAACATCAAACATTTACTTCCATTGGATTATTCAATCTTACATAAAAGAATCAACTACGTAAAATCCTTGACGGAGAAAGAAAATATACATAATTATTAATCCTATCCCGTAAAACGCACCATTTTATGCTGCGCTCAGCCGTAATTTAATTTTCATTCTCTATTTGCCCGATTCAGCAATAAACTTTGTAATTGAGGGCTTATTTTTCCTTTTGCAAACCTCAGGTACTACATCTTCCAAGATCTGTCTCTTCTCCACTATGCAAATAGGTAACTATTTAAAAAATATTATCAATCATTTGTCTTAGGTTCTTTTGAAAGTCCAGTCTACTTCCTTTACCTAGCGATATGAATTTTTGTAAATATAATTTGTATCGAAAAAACTTCTTGAATAATATCAACATTTGCGTCACTGGGCCTTTGACACAGTGCAAAGTCTTCCTTTAGCTATAACTCGAGTCCGGTAAACTCTTAAGAAATCGATTCAAACTTGCTATATTCGCTTGTTTAATTATAGTAGGATTTCCGCTTGCCTTTTAGTACGTTGGACATTTAATTATAACCAATTTATGTGCACAATTCAAAAGGCACGACACCTATCGATATTGCTCATCATAAAGGTTTCAATTTTATAATGCTGTAAATTGAAGTTTTTTGTATAATTAAAAGAATCACTTCGGCTCAGATTTCGTTCTATGAATTTCCTCTTTCTTTTATGACAGCAATATCAACGCGCCAATATACGTTCATGTGAATGTTTCTAATACGTAATTACTTTATCGTTATGCTTTTTAAGAAAATCCCAAATACAACAAATACGTAGATTGGATAACATGTAAAGTATTGAGATTATGCATTCGTAAATTTTATTGTAGTTTTAAAATTGCATACCTTATCCATTTAAAATTACATAAATTTTTATATACCGTACCGTATAAACAAAATATTACATATCGATGAAAGACTACGAATATAACATTATATGCTAACGTTTGCTTCGTATCCCCTTATTATACCGATTCATTGTACCCATTATACCAAAAAAAAATCAAGACATTTTATTTCTTAACCCCGACGAACTCACAAACAAAAATTGTTCTTCTTCTTCCTCTAATGGATCCCATTCATCTTCACTATTATTATCCGAAGATGATATGCTACTTCCGTCATCAATCCACGCCTCTATAATTTCTGTGAATCTCATTACCGAAGAAACACGTTTTAGTAATTCCGTAGTTCCATTCATGGACCCAGAATCACTTAAATTATTATGTCTTAAATGTTCTGATTCTGTTGACGACGTTGCCGTTGAAGTCGAGTCAGAAGATATTGAGATAGAATCCGAACGATTGTGTCTACAGAGATAGTTATTAAAAGATTGTGGTTTACGCAAGTGTTTTTGAAAATGAGATTTTCTTCCTTTATGATGAGTTTGGAAAAGAACATTGTTTGATGCTCGATTATCATTATGTGCGCAATATAAAGAATTTGAATTGTGCGCGTTTTCGAATCTTTGTTGAGATTGCAAAGACATTTTTTAAAAAGCTTTATTGGTTTGTTGTAATGTTTGAAAAATAATAATTTAATTAAAACTGCAAATTTTACTTTTTAGCAACAAAAAGCTCAAGAATTAGAACGTCCTTTATATAAACATTTTAGGACGAGTAAATACATGATACGTTATACGAAGTGTGCAGTTACCCGACTCAACGAAATTACTTACATAATCAATGTCACAACGTAATTGATAAGGGATATAGACCCCGGGAACAGGAGATCTGAGATCTGAATAACTTTGATTTGTTAAAATTTAATACGTCATTACTACGAATTGTTAAACTGTACATATCGATACGATATCAATATGGACAACAAGGAGGAGATTAACAAAATCATGCTTGGCATTACTATAATGCCAAGCAATGAAAATCTAGTAGATCCTGTGACTCTCCAATCGGATAATTAATTTATCGATATGAGCAATCTTTTACTCTTTTTCCGAATAATTGTGAAACAATTCTGATCATAGAAATCGAGATAAAGTTATTAAATTTTAGATTTAGGTTGCAAAAAACAACTTTTAAAAATTAGATCTCGAAACAAAAATTTAATCTTTTAATTTAAAATACTGTATGTAATATAAAATAAAACCCTTAATAAGACCCGGGAACTTTGGTGTTGCTTACGCAATAATGACGAATTTATTTTTAGATAAATAAAAATTCTTTTCATGTAAATGCCTCAGATCACACTTCACGTGCTCATTTTCGGCCAACATTAATTCATCTCCCAGCATTAACCCAAACCCTAACTCTAACTCGAGTAATATCCCTATCTTAATTTGAGATCTGAGGAACAACATAAATAAAAATAATGAACCCCTGTACAAAATAAGATGGCTTTTATTAATTTCCACACATTGATATTTGATTTTTATGACATTTGCGTTAATAATTTTCTATAGTTATTTCATTATTTAATTAATAGGTACGAGAGGATCCCGGATAATATTAATGGTAAATTTAGTCATTTTCATTTAAGTCTTATATATAAGATATATAAGCTATTATAGGTTGCAACAAATTTCCAAGTAAAATGGGTTGGGTACTAACTTCTTAAATTCAAAATTTAATCCGTCAATATGATACATCATGAATGTTTTTCATCAAAATTGCCTTTAACACCAGTTTCTTAACACAGCCCAAATATCTATTAAAAATTGTTTAATTATAGTAATGTGGCTAACCAGAATCAATTACTGATAAAAAAGATTGATATAAAATATATTTAATCTTAAAAAAAGAAATGACATCAATGTGATTGATGAAATATCCTATCACATAGGCACTTTCGACGTAAAGAACAAAAGAGAACATGTTCAAAATGTTCATTATATCGAAATTACTATGTGTTATATAACGACCTTATTATGTTTCTGTGAAATTCTGGTTTCCTATATATGGTGCAGGAACTCTTAAATCGACATTTTTATAAATTCTATCAACTTTTTAACTATGAAGCAATCCAAAATTTAACTGGTAATATTATCAGGAAAGTAACTCTTGTGCACAACTAAACTATATCGATATACATGTATGCAATGATATTTCATCGCACGATTGTACTGTACTATGTACGTAGTATAATACAAACTTGGAATTCAATATCCTCTTAGATATTGTCAACCAATTATACGACTGAATGGTATTAAAAGAAAATCAAGAGTAGTATACAATTTTTAAATGTATATATATATATATGATACTTCTAGAGGCGTCGAATTTACTCCTTCAACTATGGTGTATAACATATAAAGGCATCAAACGTTTGTATTTTATAAAATGTATAAACTTCTTTGTTAAGAAGTAAATACAAATTTAATCCGTCCGTGAATATGCTCAGAAAGGGCCTATTCTATCGTATTCACGGATTAAATTTTGTATTTACTTCTTAGTAAAGAAGTTTATACATTTTATGAAATACAAACGTTTGATAACTTTAGATGTTATGCACCATAACAAATTTCTTGTTGACTTCAGTAGATACATTCGATTGATTGGCGTAATTGCTACAACGAGAAATCAAAATTGACAAGGTAATATTCAAAGTACATGTATTACAAGTGAATTTATATAGAATCAATTAAATATCTTTCTTTAATCGGTACCCGTTACTCGGCATTAACGTTAGGATGTTTAATAGACTAATTAAACCATAATTAATGTTAAGGCCACATACATGTACTTATGTTGATCATCATTAATTGATGGTTGTGGATTTTATCCGGGTCCCGCTTTAATAGTAAATTTTATAGTTTTGAGGTACATGTACGTATAATTTATCAGAGAAAAAGTAGATTCCGCGTTGATGACCAGCATATGTTACCCAAATTATAGTACATGTATCGGTATCATGCATTTGATGAATGAATCAATTTAACTAAAGACCTGTTGACAATCAAATGATTTCCCCCGTGCCCATAATAAATTACCGTTACGTAGTCAGTTGATCAAGTTAACCACGTTCTATTATCAATAAAGACGTTTTTAGTTATCTATAAAGAGATTTTCAAAGCAAAGAAAAAAGTAGTCTTAATATCTCATTTATTCAAATGACACCAAAGTTTGATTAGTAAGTTATGAAATATTTAATGGCGTGATTATTTTATTTCTTTTACCATAGGTAATAGTTGTGTCATTTTTTTTAAGGGTTTCGTTACTTTAACTCACTTACATAACGACAATAACTCTAATGCAGCTATCTGTTTTTCCTAATTTATAAATCTTTATGAGAGTGAAAAGATGCTAGTAGAATTTAGGAATTTGTATTAATTTTTTAGTATTGTAATTGATATGAATGTAAAAGAACCGTTCTAATAAACATCACAAAAAATGAACTAGAAAAAGAAATGAATTAATATAATGCATAGTAAAAGACCAAAACAGACGTATTTGGGATTCTGTGCCCAAATTTTTATGGGTACTATCAAAAATGGAAAGTTTTTTGTCTATTCTCAATTTAGAAAATCATTTACCAATTCTCCGAAGAGACGGAGTAAGTCTGGGACCCGAGAAAAAGTATATAAATAACTCGGGCTGCCATATCTCTTTTCTCTTCACTTCATTGGAGTTTAGTTCTTTAGATCCTAATACGTGATAACAAAAATGACGACCACAAAAACTACACCCAAATTAATGATAAATACAAACTTAATGCTACCGCTGTATTCTGATTATCATCTAAATTATACATCATCACCAACACATTCTATTTATTTATCAGAAGTACAGCAAAAACAACAACAAAAACGACGCAGAACACATGCTCAAAAACATTTACGAAAACCACAAGCATTCGATACTTATTTAAAACGTGATCGTTCCGATTCAATCTCTTCCACTTCGTCATTTGATACAGTCTCTTTGGTGACATCAGAAGATTTACATTTGAATAATAATTGCTATCACAATTGCAAAAACAATCATATTGCGATTTCGTCACTAGAACGACCCCAATCTCCTATTAATGTCTCAGAATTAATCCGACGCGTGTCGGCAGTAATTCGATTTCCGAATTTAACAGACGATAGTAATTCAGAAATTGTATCTGCTAGTTGCTCTAGCGATAATACTGATGACGAATGGGATAGTGAAGTGGATGACGACAATGAAAATTTCATGTTTATGAGCTCAGCTTTGCGGTCAAGAGATTTGAGACGATCGAATACTTTCCCTTAATGATTTATTTTATATATAAGCATTTTTTTGGCATTGAATTGCCAACACAAAAATTATTTATTTGTTCTTTGACAGAACAGACATTTGTTATCCCTGACAGTAAAATAATATACAAACTTTATGTCACTCGTTTCTCAAGAACCACTTAAGCTATTAAATTATGCTTTTATCTTTTATACTACGAACCCATGTTTGTTTTTCTTTTATATATTTGGTGTGAGCCACTGTTTATATGTACACAAATTATTATATTACTGTACAGACAAAGTTTTTGGCATAGATTTATTATTAGACGGGTAGGGTTTTGATATTATTATCGTCTTAATTAGAAATTATTACCATATTGTATTTAGTTGTTTTCGCATCATGTATGTATCGGTATTCAAAATGTTCAAAAGAATCAAATACAGTCGTTCCTCTATACAGTCACACCCTCTTTACGATCACAATTCTCTCATAGGCGATTTGACCTTCATACGATCACAACCACTTTAAATTCTCACTTTTTCTAGTCCCGAGGGCGTGATTATATGGAAGCATTATCGTTATACCAAATTTGTATGCAAAAAAAGTATTTTTATCGAATAAAAATCGCGTTATATATAATATCAAATTTGTTAGAGTTCATTACTAAAGAAATTATTTGTTGGGAATTATCTGAATTTTTAATTATTAACGTTCCGTTATAGTTAATACTAAATACCAACCAAGTGAATGGATATTGATTTATATAGTTTACGCGTCTAGTTTTCTGGTCTAGTAATTTGATTTTATTAGATAGAATTATGTCTGGTCAATGAATTAAATAAATTCTGACTTGAAGTAATACCAGAAAAAGGCGGACACACTTTGGCACAATAAAAAATTATACATACTAACATAATTCATGAAATACTTGTTCACAAATTGGTGCCTTGCTTATTTCCTAGGAGTCTCGTATCCAAAATAAAATATAACGATAACGATAATTACTTAGAAACAAACCGTAAAATATGTTCAAATAGAAAATTTAAATTTAACTCTTAACTTAATTTCAAGGCCATTAAATTAGTAACCAAATTAAGGTTTAAATTTTCTAGAGTTTGTGTAATATATTTATATTACAAATTATTTACTTATAATAACAGTCGACTCTAGACATAACTCTTTAAATTTTATATTAGTTCATTGTAGAAAGAATAGTAGGCTCTATAGAAAACATGGTAATTTTATAATATTAGTGTTGCAAGCTGTATACTCAATAAATATAGCAACTTGATATTAAGATATTCAACTGATAAGAATATCAGAATCTATTATATTTATTAAAAATTATATTATAAACAATTCTGACTCTTCACATTTTATTATTAATGAAAAAGTTATAGAAATAAAATAAACCAAATAGTATTACTAATAATAATGTAATCAATTTGTCTACAAAAAAAATATTTAAAATAAAAGAAATAACCAAAAAATATTTATTAATAATCTATTTGATATTTATTAATAATACTCTTATAATACAGAATACTTAAAGATGATGTTGTTACCGGGGGTTAAGGGTAATTTCATTAATTTCTTAATTTTGGTAAAATTCATCTAGTCTGATTTCATTAGTTTATTTTTATTCACATTAAAATTATTTTTATTTAAATAATAGAATATATTATACAACAAGTTCTAATATTTTATAATGTAAACAAATAATTTTTCTCCAAGAAAATTAAACTTGCAAAAATTGTTGTAATTAAATTTTTTAATTCAAAAAAATATTAATATTATTAATGATATATTAATTGATTGATTAAAAAAGAGTTTTATAATTAAACAGTTTAAGATTTTTAGCTAGAAAAAGCAATGATTAAAAATTAATAAGAAAAATATTGTTAATAAACTAATATAAGCCAAAATTATCTCAACTAAAAACTGATTTATTCAAACTTCTCTTTTTACTGTTATATTGAATGATATTTATAGATATTAGCACAGAAAATAGAAATAAACAAATATCACTCAGCTTAATTACTTCTCTAATTTATTATTATAAATAAAATTATCAATTATATCTAATTATGATTTATTTATAATATTCTTAATATATTTCTTTGAACTAAACTGAACTAGATTTTTATTAAAGTTCGAATCTGATTCAAAATTTGAACTAAACTCGAATTGAATTTTTATTTAAGTTTGAGTAGAATTCAATATTTGAACTGAACTTAAATCAAACTTTTATTTGAGTTTGAATAAAGTTTAATATTTGAACTAAATTCAAACTGAATTTTTATTTGAGTTTAAATCAAACTTGAACTGAATTTTTATTTGAGTACAATATTTGAATTAAATACAAACCAGAACCAGACTTTTAGATGAGTTTATAAAAGTTCAAAGTTTATACCAGATCTTTAAAAACAAAAATTTTAATTATAGTAGATTTGTACTTGATATACTTTTTCATATTTCTTGAACTTATACAAAGTTTGATTATTTTTTATTTATTTTTTAACAAGCTTAAGAATAACAAGTTTATATTTACTTTTAATCTCACTCTTTTCTCTATCAAATCCATTCTCTATTTTTGTTATCTTATTCTTCTCACCATTGATTATATTTTTTCAATTACTTTTTTATTTTTCTTATTTGTTATCTCATTTTTCTCTTTATTGATAATCTTCTTTTTCTGTTTTTTTACTTTCAAAAAGATGCAAGCATTTTGGATTGCTCTCTGAATTGTTTTTCAATTTTTTATTTCTCTTTTATTTGTTAATCACTATTATAATTTTTGTTATCAGATTTTGTAATCAAATAGCTTGATATTTAATCAAAAAAATAATAGTAATTCTATATTTATTTTATTCAAAAAAGCATCATAAAGTATTTACCTTTAATTTAATCAAAATATCATACACTAAAAGAAAAAATTTTTTTCTATAAATTCTTCTTTTATATATTTATCTTTTTTATTTCAAATTCCTCTTGTATATATATATTATTACTATTAGTAGTCTTTATAGATAAAGATCTTTATTATACAGTAAGCAATGATTATATTCATATGAAAAAGCATAAAAAAATGAATAAAGTATGAAATAATCTTCTAATACTATTATATATTTGTCAAAGTGCTAAATAATTTATAAAAAATCTAATAAGTTTACTAAGAATAATATAAGTTTTAAGAAATAGAAGTGAATTCACCAAGAACTCATAGAGTTATAAAAGAATTATAAAAAATAAAACACAAAATTCTTTAATATATGAGTATTACTTCATCAAGGAGCAATTTAGATTCATTAAGAATTTTTATTATAATCCAAAAAAAGAAAAAACAAAATAATTAATTCTTTAAGTTAATTATTATACAGTCAAATTTCTCTATAGTCACCACTCTTAGAAAAGCAAAATTTGATGACTATAAAGAAAATGTGACTATAGAAGAAATTTTTTACTATATTTATATATAAATGAAAAAGCAAAATAGAGTGACTATAGAGAGGTGTGATTATAAATGAGTGTGACTATAAAGAGATTTGACTGTATTTATTAAAGAATAAAAGCAAAGAAACTTTATTAATACTAAGTTAATCAAAAGACTCTCTATCTTTTTAACTAAAATATATACTATATTTATAATAATTATTCATTACTCAATCTTTTCAATCTAGAACTAATTTATTTTATTTAGAATAAGACTTAATTTATTCTATAAATTATCTTATAGTGCTTGCCTTAATGTTTTATATCTTTTATTTGAGTGTAACTAATTATTATAAATTACTATTAAGCTAATTTGATCTTTTAAAGATCAATTAATATGTATTTTTTATACTAATAATAATATAAAAATAATATAAATTAAATACAAATAGTATAAAATATATGTAAAATAAAATAAATAATATGAAATAAAATAAAATAGTATAAAATATAAAATGAATAATATAAAATATATTTAAAATAGAATAAAATAAAATAAAATAAGAATGAATAGTATAAAATATAAAATAAGAATAAATAGTATAAAATATAAAATAAATATTATAAACTAAAAAAAATTGTAATTTATAGATCATATATTTATTAATTATCCAATAGAAATATATTTAAAATAATATGATATATTTTATATCAGGTACTAAAATATCACATAATGACAATATAGATTCAGATATATTTCAAAAAGTTTTTGTTTATGTGAACATATTTCAAATAATTAAGAGTAATGCTATGGTTACTTTAAATGAAGGATTTCTTCACTATTAGTAAAAGAGTCATATGAGTTGGGAGAGAGGAATAGACTAAT